GAGCTTCTGCTGTTGGTATATAGAGCTCTGACATTATCTAACATTTGTCCTCTGACGCCATACTTTTCGAGTGTCTTCCCGAGCTTTGTATTGTTTACTCTGTCAAAAGCCTTCTCCTGGTCTATAAAGACGATGTTGGATTCATTGTTGTGTTGGGTTGTTTTCTCGCATATCTGTCGTAATGCGAATACGGCATCCGTGCATCCTCTTCCCTTTCGGAATCCAAACTGAGCTTTGCTCAGATTTGTCTCTACAATAGGTCTTATGCGCTGCTTGAATATCTTGGCATACATTTTTCCTGAGTGGCTTAACAATGAGATGCCTCTATATGCAGTGCAGTCGCGTTTATTGCCTTTTTTTCAATAATGGTACCACTATGGCTTTCTGTCAGTCTTCTGGGCATTTTCTTTGTTCCCAAGCTCTGTTGAAAATACGCCTCAGCCACAGTATACCGGTGTTTCCACAAGCTCTTATGGCTTCCGCTGTGATATCATCTGGTCCCGGGGCTTTGTTCTTGGGGCTGGTCTTAAGTGCCTTTTCTATTTCAATAATAATAATAATAATAATAATGATGATATTTAAATACATACATATTCACCCGTAATTTGACAAAGAACACATGCACTAGAAGACAATCACTGTGGTTACTGATATCACGTTTTGTTGGAAGAAAGACCAAACGAGTTGATAAAATGTGATTTTAACAAAGTTAATGTATTTTTAAAACCAGATTTAAATGGGGTCAAAGTGGTACTTGCTGAAAACAATTACGATAGCGTGTTTGGAGATTACTTGTATGTTTCAGTATATAATAGGTATCTATACTTTTATGTAACACAATATTTATGTAGGCACAATGTTACGCCATTGTAAGTAAAAATTCCCAACGTAAATCAATTAAAGTGCTGGTTTTACAAGGCAAAGCCCTAAGTTGTTTTGTTTCTTTAATTAATAGACCGTTATTTTCAACATAGAATTTATACTTCTGTAGTAAGAAAGGTGTTTAGGTGCCAGGTCTTTTAAACACTTGTAGCACACTGCAACTTTGTAATAAACACAAGGAAATTAAAGCAAATATTCTGCTGCTTGTTTCTGTGTCTCAGTTCAATAATGTCAGGCATGGGTTTTGAATTTTGAAGAAACGAGAGTTGCACGTTCATTGTGGCCCAGAATAGCGCTTGCTATTTCCTGGAATATTTCCATTTTTAGGACTGGCTTGTTTAGAAAAGAAAAAGGAATACATGTTGTCTATTCCAGAGAACAGTGTGCTTGTGATCCCCTTTGATCTCCGCTTTAATTTGGATTTCACGGAAGATCTGAAGTCACCTTCATCAGCCAAGTATAAAGAGCAAAAACGACTGCTCTCTGAGCAGGTGAGTGAACAACATAGGCCAGAACTCATTTCGCACAAACACAGACATACACATACACGCGCGTGCACACACACACACACACACACACACACACACACACACACACACACACACACACACAC